TTGGGGCGGGAAGGATCATTCTTCCTTTTCTGTTCTTGGAGGTCCAGTGAACAGTGAACGTGAATGGGGAAAAACAGTAACCTTGCAAACCACAGAAATGGGAAAAACAGACCCAGGCTCTCTACCCAGAGTCCGTGCCACAGGACCCAGATCTCTTTCTGGCACAGACAAAAGCCAGTGCTGTTTCCTACCCGCCTCCCTCCAGGGGCTTGCTGGGCCAGCTGCCAAGATCTGACCTCCCCTGTGTGCTCTGTCCAGGTCTGGCCCTCGGCGATGTCCCCAACCGTCAGACCATTGGCATCGTCCTCACAGTGCTGGGGGTGGTGGTCCTGGATTTCAGTGCTGATGCGACCGAAGGGCCCATCCGTGCCTACCTGCTGGATGTGGTGGACAGCGAGGAGCAGGATATGGCCCTCAACATCCACGCTTTCTCTGCCGGTAAGCGCTCACACCAAGCGTGGCCAAGGCCTGTCCTGGCTCTGGGCCTGGCGTGGGCAGGATGAGAGCATGTGCCAGCGCCACCTCAGGGTGTGCTGGCCCTTCTGATGCTGGCGGGCCGGGGCAGTGAGCAGCGTCTCCAGAAGGTAACCAAGGATGTCCCCTCCTGACCACTGAGCCCAGCAGGACCGGGGGACTGAGGAGCTGAAATGGGGAGGGCTGGACCAGGCCCGTGTGGGGGTGACGTGCTCGCCAGTTGGATGTGCAAGGGCCCTGCACTGACCACTCTCTTTAGCCGGGCACCTTTCATGCATTTTGGGGCTGGCACTCAGTACAGAGTGGCACACACAGGACAGCAACGGATCCTGGCATTTGTCTGCTCTTAATTTATTAAGCAGATAGACATTCTGCTTAATTTAATTAAACTAATTAAATTCTTAATTTTTCTTAATTTGATTGTGCTGTTTATTTATTAAACAGAAATTTTATTCAGATTTTTTAAAATTTTATTTTTTATTGATTGTATATATTCATGGGGCACAGAGCTGACCGTCAGCACGTGTGCCCAAGATGTGGCAGTCAGGCCAGTACTGTCAGCATGCCCACCCCAGGTCAGAATTCTCAAACCGCATGTCAGCTGGAGTTTCCTGGGTTTTTTTCCCTACTGTCTTCTCATTCTTCATCCCCAAAACTGTCCCTTAACGTCACTGTGGTTGGCGGCCCCGGCCCCCACGTGAGGGTGAAGCCCTTCTGGAACTCTCCCTGCTCACCGCTGCCTCCCTTTGCTCCTGCGCAGGCCTCGGCGGGGCCGTCGGCTACGTGCTGGGTGGGCTGGACTGGACCCAGACCTTCCTGGGCAACTGGTTCAGAACGCAGAGCCAGGTGCTCTTCTTCTTTGCCGCCGTCATCTTCACAGTGTCCGTGGTGCTGCACCTCTTCAGCATCGAGGAGGAGCAGTACAACCCGCAGCAGGACCGCTGCACAGAGGAGACCGCCCTGCCCAGCACCCGCCTCAGCGCCTTTGACAGGGGCGCGCAGCTCGGCGGCTCCCTTTTGCCAGACGAGGTGCAGTCGGAGCATGAGCTGTCCCTGGACTATCTCAGCGTGGACATAGTACGCAGCAAGAGCGACTCGGTGCTGCACGTGCCCGATGCCACACTGGAGCTGGAGCCCGAGCTGCAGTTCCTGCACGACATCGAGCCCTCCATCTTCCAGGATGCCTCCTACCCCAACACGCCCTGCAGCACCAGCCAGGAGCTCCCGCAGGCCAAGCTGTCCCGCCGGTCCACGTTCCTCAGGGAGACCATGAAAGAAGATGACACCCTGCTCGATAACCACTTGAATGAGGCAAAAGTCCCCAATGGAAGCGGATCTTTGCCAAAAGATGTCCCCAGCAGCTCCAGCAGGGTGGACGTGAAGCCCTCGGCTGTGTCTGCCTCTGCGCGGCGGCGCCGGCACAGGTTCCACCGGCAGGCCTCCAGCACCTTCTCCTACTATGGCAAGATCGGGTCCCACTGCTACCGCTACCGGCGGGCCAACGCGGTGGTCCTGATCAAGCCGTCCCGCAGCATGAACGACCTGTATGACCTGCAGCAGCGGCAGCGGCAGCGGTGCCGGCGCAGGAACCAGAGTGGGGCCACCAACTCCAGCGGGGACACGGAGAGTGAGGAAGGGGAGGGTGAGACCACCGTGCGCCTGCTGTGGCTGTCCATGCTGAAGATGCCCCCAGAGCTGATGCGGCTGTGCCTGTGCCACCTCCTCACCTGGTTCTCCGTCATTGCCGAGGCCGTGTTCTACACCGACTTCATGGGCCAGGTCATCTTCGAAGGGGACCCCAAGGTGAGTGTTCAGGCCCCTGAGCGGGGCACACAGCTTCTCAGCACCCCCAATTCTGTAGGCTGGGAGGCCACTGGTTACGACACAGGCCTCTGCATCGGGGGCCTCTTCCAAACCCACTTGATGGCCCCTTGTGCCCTGGTGCCTGTGGGTGTCAGGGATGTGTAGGGGGAGGCACACGGCAGGCAGCTGGGCATCGTGTACCTCTATTAGGTGGTTGGAGCATCATGCAAGCCCAAAATGGGGGTTCGCAATGGGGTCCAGTCACGAAGGCCAAGTGCTGTCACAGGGCAGGGTCACTTTGAGAAGGCCAAGTGGGGCTTTGCCTGGGCTGTCTGTTGCTGCACATCAGACTGCCCCAAAGTCAGCCGTCACAATAATGACCTGTTGTCACTTGTGCCAAGCTCCGCTGGCAGTTCTCTGGTCCTGTGGTACCAGCTGGGCTCACAACTGTGGCTGCATTTGCCGCCTGGCCAGGAGGGCCAAGATGGCACACGCTCAGACCTCCTGTCCCCTTCCTGAGCTCAGCCCTTCTTTTTCCGGGTCTAGTCTGAGCTGCTCCATGTGGCATCTCCAAGAGGGCAGAGGCAGAGGCTGCAGAAGAGTCACTTCTGCAAGTTTACAGCAGCCCAGATTCGTGAAGCAGGGACAGGGGCAGGAAGACTCCACCTCTTTTGGGGGGAGGGGTGGCAAAGGGCTGGGAGGGATTGAAAACTATGTACTGGATAGTGACCTGGACTTGGGGGTGACTTACCTACAGTTGAAGTGTAAGAACCTCCTTTGCACAGAGGGTATAGCAGATACTCTGCTAAGCCCCAGTCTCATTTTTGAAACAGGCCCCCTCCAACTCAACCGCCTGGCACTCCTACAATGCCGGGGTGAAGATGGGCTGCTGGGGCCTGGTCATCTACGCTGCCACCGGTGCTATTTGCTCAGGTAAGAGGCCTCTGGGTTAGGTAAGCATTCACAGCGCAGAAGGTGCTCAGCGATTGGAAATATGCACAAGGGAATCCTGCCCCTTACAAGGTGGAGGTGTCAGCCAGACTCTGGCTTCTGCCTGAACAGGGCCGTCCTTCAAGGGAGAAGCATCAAAGTGCATATGTCCTTATCTTAGGGAAAAAGGCTCCTATGTGCTGATGCCAGGAACAGGGTATTGCTGAGACCCCTTTGGAGGCCATCCTGCAGTGTCCCCTCCAGTGACACTGTCCAATGTTGATGGTGCCTCTGTTTCGGGGAGCCTTCCCTAGGGGGCTCGGCCAGCAGTCAGAGGAGCAGGAAGGAGCAGTGTCCAGTCTGCATGGATGAGAGGATGCTTCCGGTGGGTGCTGCTTTGTTTCAAAAGCTGGGAGTCTGGGTGGCAGGTTTCATTCCTGGGAACAGCACGCCCAGACTCGCCTTGGGGGATGGGTGTGACCACAGTCTGGGGTCCCCAACTGAGTCTGGCCTCCTAGCAGTCTGAACCACAGAGAAGGCCAGCTTTGTTTCAGTCTGAGCTGGCTTGAGGGTGACCAAAGTCAATACCACATGGTCACCCAGAAGCCAGCATGACAGCGACCCAGTGTTGTCACTGCTTTAATAAATCCTCAGGAGAGCACTGGAGCCGCTTCCTGGAGGAGGTGATGGTTGAGTCACTGGGTCAGGAAGGGTGAACAGGAGATCAGAGAGGTACCCACAGGAAAACCCACAGTGAGCAACCTGTGACCTGAGGCAGGACTGCCAGTGCTGCCCTGCTTCAAGAGGATGAAATCGTCCTGGGTTTAGGGCCAGGGAAGGCAGCAAGTGGGCGTGGCTTGGTGGCCTGGCAGGTCAGGGAGGCCCCCAGGGGCTGCAGGAAGGGCCAGCTTATAGGATCTGGGACCAAGGAGGGCAACTTCTCTCTGAGGTGCTGGGGCCACTGGAAGCTGCAGGTTGTGAGCTGGGAGCATGTTTGGGGGCACATGGCAGCCAGGCCAGAGGAGAAGGTATCTTCCTGTATTTGAGAGGGCCGAGGTTCAGCCGCAGGAAGCAGGCAATGTCCAGGTAAGGGATGGGACAGCAGAAGGAGACGACAGGAGCGAGTACTTGGTCAGTGTCCCTGTGGTCCTTCCTGCAGCCCTGCTACAGAAGTACTTGGACAACTACGAACTGAGCGTCAGGGTGATCTACGTGCTGGGGACGCTGGGCTTCTCCGTTGGCACAGCCGTGATGGCCATGTTCCCCAACGTCTATGTTGCCATGGTCACCATCAGCACCATGGGCATCGTCTCCATGAGCATCTCCTACTGTCCCTATGCCCTGCTAGGGCACTACCACGACCTCAGGCAGGTGCGTCCAGCCCAGGGCCCCTCTGCTCCCCTGCCCATGGAGCTCAGCCCCTTCCCCAGGGGATATTCAGGACCCCGCTTGTCCCCTTCGGTCCTCAGCTTTGAAATGGCTCCTGACAAGCTGACAGAGCTGCTGCCTGCCCCTGCCCCTGCCCCTACAGTGCCCTCAGACACGGCGGCCACCCCTGAGGGGAGGGAAGCTGCAGACAAGCACTGTCCCGTCAGATAGAGGGCGAGCCGCCCGGCAAGTCCACGCTTCCTAGGAGCCACGTGTAAAAAAGTAAAAAGACCGATGACATTAATTTTAATAGCATATTTTATTTAACTCTGTATATTTAAAACATTATTTCAACCTCTATCCAATATATAAAAATTAACTATTCTACATTCTTGCTAAGCCTTTGAAATTGAGTGTCTCACACCTGCAGCACGTCGCAGTTCAGACGAGCCTCATTTCAGATGCTCAGTAGCAGCAGCTCAGGTGGACACCACAGTTCTCAGTCTTAACATAGATCCTTGCAGAGGGAAAGGAAAAAACAAAAAGCTCATGTCTCCTTCCTAAACCTAAACTATGTTTATTCATCTAATCTCTTACATAAGTATTAAAGCAAAATAAATGTGCTGATTAGATGCATAGTAAATACGATAGTAATGAAAATCTAAGTTAACAGCATTGTTTTTTAAGTAAACTTTTAAATTGCAGTATGACATGACTACTGAATCTTAAGTGAGCAGAGTCATGGCTTTTGGGAAGGAAAAACACACTTGTAGAACCCACCCAGACCAAGACAGAGCCTTACCAGGGCCCAGAGCCCCTCGGGCCCCTCCCCTCTCCCCAGAGGTCACCATTGTGCTGACGTCTGACACCATGTATTCCTTTTGCCTGTTTCTGAGCTTTGTACAGTGGAGCATCTGGCTCCTCGAGTCCCCCGTTCTCTGCAGCTCACTCACTGCTTGTGGGGGCAGCCTCGATGAGCTTCACGTCCCGCGGTGGGACCAAATTTGTCACCCACCCTCCTTTGATGGAGTTTGGGTGATAATGCCACGCCTAATGGGGTTGGTGAAGTTGCTTCCACTTTTGTCCCCTCCCATGAGCTAGAACTTTCTGCTTCTCCTGCCTACATGGTGCTGGGTAGGAGTTGGGGGTGGGGACTCAAGCAGGAATGGTTCCCAAGTTCAGTGAAAGGCCAGTTTTGTTCCCAGACTTTTTTTTTTGGTGATTGGCCAGTACGGGGACTGGAACCCTTGACCTTGGTGTTCTCAGCCTCACACTGTCCCAAGTGAGTCACCAGCCAGCTGAGTCACAGTCTGCACCTCTGCTGTGCTGGCTGGGATGAGCCTCCCCCACCCCTCACACGTGTTCCCTCTCTTGCAGTACGTCAACCACAGCCCCGGGAACTCCAAGCGAGGCTTCGGCATCGACTGCGCCATCCTGTCCTGCCAGGTCTACATCTCCCAGATCCTGGTGGCATCCGCCCTCGGGGGCGTGGTGGATGCCGTCGGGACCGTCCGTGTCATTCCCATGGTGGCCTCCGTGGGCTCTTTCCTAGGCTTCCTGACTGCCACATTCCTGGTGATCTACCCCGAGGTGTCAGAGGAAGCCAAGGATGAGCAGAAAGGCCTGTCCTCCCAGCCTGTCGGTGATGGCAGCAGCGGGGGCCGCGAGAAGCCCACTGTCCTGAAGCTCTCGCGGAGGGCGGGCCTGCACGCACTGGTGGAGTCGGAGTCAGTGGTCTGAGCCACACTCCTGGTGACACGTGCTCCCAGGCAGGCGCAGGGGACGGCGGGGAGCAGGAGAGGCGCTGCTGCTCCTGCGGCAGCACAGACAGGCCTTTCCCCACATGTAGGTGACATTCAGTAGTCATAGGGTAGGCTGAGCTGAGCTCCTAGGCAAAAATGCCACACTAATTACTTTTTCCACAATTAAAAAAAAATCATTTGAAATCTTTTTAATTGAAAAAGATCTTTTAATTTCAACTTTGTCTTTTATTCTGCAGGTATATTATTCTGCATGTTTTTACATTGTAAAACATTTACAATATAGACAATAAGCAATTTAGAAAAAAATAAGATTTTTCATTTCTAAAATTTAATTGAAAACAAAAAGAATCTGACGTCCTTTGCTATATCTTATCTGAATACTTCAGGTAATAGTAGTGTAGTCAATGACTAAGACATTTTTATCAAATTTTTTCTCTGGACACCTACAGGTATTTGGACCTTCTGTCAGATCTTGTCACATTTTGTTGGTGCTGCAGCTGTTGGAGAGTATTTTTCTTTATGATTATTTTAGAAGAAAGCATTCTCTTTTTCATGACTGTGGTTTTCTTAGAAAACCAGTGTCTCTTCTTTCCTCGGAGAGTGTGACACGTGGTGCCCAGGGCAGCCCTGCTCCTGGGCAGGGCCCACACCAAAGCTGGGAGGAGCCCTGGGGTGGGGCAGGGTGCCATCGGGGGCACCCATGAGCTCTCTGCGTGGCCATGTGTGCGTGTGCGTGTGTGTGAGCGTGTGTGTCACAGTGCCCTCCTGGGAGGCTGTCAGCCCCTGCAGACCCCTCCCCACATCAGGGAAGGAAGCCATTGGCTCCGCGTTGCACTTTGATTTCGTCTCTAAACCACGTGCTGGGGAACCCTCGGCAGAGCTTCGGGTGGACACTGCCTCCCACGTCCCGCCGCAAGGCTACCTCGGGTATGTGTGGGACAGCGGCCTCGGGACAGGGAGCAGGAGTGCGTGGGGGACCTGCGTGCCAGAACCGCTGGAACTCTGTGACTTCCTCGCCTGCTGGCCCTCTTGACTCTGGAATTTGGAACAGCACAAGAAGCATGCGTCTGTCTGGACAGAGGGAAGGCCACCTCGCCGGAAGGCTCGTGAGTGTCTTCGATTTCAGCAAATAAGCAAAACTCGGACTTGGGGGAAGTACAGTCGTCATATACTGCAGCTACTGGAAAATGTTTTTCAAATCACCATCTCTCTATAACTGAGCGGTTTCTGCTCTTGTCTGAAACGGTCTAAGCTTCCTGAGATCAGGAGAAAGAGGCCCCCTGCACACTACATGGATAAAGTCAGACAATTGTAATATTTTTGCTGCCTCAAGTTAATGTTTTTTAAATAAAGTACTTTAAAATGCACGAGAATCATGCTGCAATATGATCATTCTAAAGCAAATATACATACACACATATATTTCAAGATGAAACTAAACAGTTTTTAAATAAGTTACTTGAATTTTCTGTGCATTTAAAGGAATGACTGTTTAACTTACTTGACAGCCTGTGGTCTTGCCGTGTTTCTAGCCACTGGTGGCACTGTGTAGGTCATGTGTCTTGTATCAGGTAGCAGCAGTTTGGTGCCTGTTCACTTGGGGCGTGTGATCATGCCAATGAGGGCACGTTCCACCAGGCCATGTGTCCTCCCTCAGAAGCCCTGGACCACAGAGGACTGACTTCAGGACTCGAACATCTTCTGTATGTGTTAAACCTGCAGAATGGCCTTGTGAGTCCCGTGCTCGGACAAGGGAGAGGCCGACTACTGAAAACACTGCTGGCGTTGCTGTGAACCCTTCCGCCAGTGGGAGCGTCATCAGTGGGGCGTTCTGTCTCTTCTCCTCGGGGTGACAGGCACCCAGGGGTTCCTCCCCTCAAGCCGGGCATCTTTGCAGCTCACTCCTATGCAACTCGATTCTCTTTTCTGGCTTTAAGATTGTAGCTCCTCCTTCCAGAGACATTTGCTTGGTTGTCAGGACTGTGGCTGCCAGTCATGGCCTCTGTTAGTTGATTTATCCTGCTTCCTATCCTGGTGACTGGAAAACAGAAGCAGGAGAGCAGAGAATATGGGGTGGGGGTAGGACTGACCCCAGTCAAGATCTGAAACACTTGAACCAAACACATGGCTCCAGCCAGGAGAGCCGCACCTCGTCCAGGGCGCACACCCTCCTATGCAGCACTCACAGAAGCCGCATGTGCAGGAGGCCTGGCTGTGACTTGAGTTTTTGGAGGAAAAAGGGCTTGGCAGTCACCACCTGAACAGCTATTAACCCTTGAGATCCTGGGCTTAGCTTGACCGTGATCTGAAACAATAAAGACAACAAAGATCATTTTGTGTTCACGGCACAGGCCTTTTTAAAGTCACCGTTGGGATATTAATGAAGAAATGATCGAGCCAGTACAAGGCATGGCTGTTGTCTTCTCAGCAGCAGGAGTGGCTGCACACTTGGTAGAATTGTAAAGCTGAAAGCCCTTCATATATTTGCAACCAAAGTTTTTCTTCCTGTGTAGATATGGTCAGTGTCCAAAAGGAAAGGGAGGTTCCTTGGGTTTGGATTTACCTTGGGTTAATGGTGGAGTCGGTTTCTGGAGCTGCCTTCCTGGGAGGCAGGTGCTGGTGACCCAAAGGCCCTAGTACTCTGGGTGGGGTCCTCAGCTAGGTGCAGGGAGGATCACTTAGCCAAATCTTTCTGCCTCAGCCCCTCCCTTGTGATGAGATTATTTCAAGATTGCACTAACTTGAAACCATCAGTGTCATCACCTTTTGTCTTAAGCTGAGAAGCTGGGGTTGGCTGCTACACAATGCACTGGTGTTGGTCAGATTGTGGCCCAGGCAATCGTGTTTTCTAATGTGGCACCTCAGGCAGACACAGGACTGGGGGGTGGTGGGGATGCTGAAGTGCTCCCCCAGTCGTTCATCTGCAGCCTGTTGACAGGAAAGGAAAGACTGGTGGCCTTGACCGAGGGGAGAGGGCCGTGTAATATGCACTTACTACCAAAACAGAGTAACCTGCATCAGATGTGTGTTTTTGTTCCTTATAAAAGTCACCTAAGTAAAGAATCTCTTAATGATGACCCTTAACAGACATGGCAGACATTTCCAAGTGCAGGAATGTGACCTGGAGTGAAGGCGTTGGTGGGAAGGAAGCCGTGGGTGTTAGGCCAGGCCAGCCTGCCTCCAATGGCATTGTGATGTTCCTTGAGGCTGAAGGGCTGGCAGTGGGGTGTTCAGTTCTTCTCGGCCTAGGGCAGGGGTCTTAGGGGGAAGTATCTGACCTGCCCCACTGAACAAGCCAACCCTGTCGGCTGCCTTGAAAGCTTTGGGACCTCTGTGAGGGCCAGGCCTAGGAGAAGTCATGTCCCCTGGGTGGTGGCAGGAAGGCTGAGCCGCCTCAGCTGGTCAGTGCCCCCCGCTGTGTTCAGGGGTGTGGAGAAGCAGGCTTGTGACCACTCAGAACCCCAAAGTGGAGCCTCTGTCAGCAGCTGCAGAACGCAGCCATTCATTGTAACCACAGGGGTGGTGGGGGCTCGTGGGAAGGGCAGCGCCCTGCTCCCCTGCCTTGCGGCCTGAGGCTTGGGTAGCATGTCTGATAGTGCTCTCAAAGGTACCAGCCTTCTGCGCTGATGGTTCGTGCAGCAGCCAGATGGTGACACCTGTCGCAGGCCAAGTCTGTCAAACACACCAAATATTGCTGTTCTCCCTAGACACTAACCAACTTCGGGAAGATGTGCTTAAACGTCACCGTTCCCAAGCTGTTTTGCTTCTACCTAAGCTCTCGTCCATCTCTTTAAGAGACACCAGAGCTAAGTGTGCAATTTACACAGGTCCTCCTGGGACAGTTGCTGCCAGAAGCATCGTACCTGTCTTCTTGAGTCACATCAACCCGAGCTGTTTCCAAGACACACCATTGTGCTGCTTCGAAGCCTGGCGTCCTAAGACCTGTCTTGAGGGTCCTGCTTCTGAGAGCTCCTGGGGGACTCTGCCCAGCACCCACCAGGAAGTAGTGTCAGTTCAGTTCTGGGCTCCACACAGCTCTGCACATGCTGCATGTTTGGGGGCCCAGCCTGATGTGGTCCTCATCACCTCACATGAAGCCAGCCGGAACCCCCAGCCTGTCCTCAGAGCTGAGGGCCCCTCCTAGCAGCTTCCCCTTGTCTCCCGGGGCTGCCAGGGCCATGGCTGTGGGTTGAGACTGTCTCTTGGTGACAGAATGACCCATGTTGGAAATGCTTCTTGTTACCAGAGAGACTCCCCGGGCATCTCGGAACAAAACTATTTAGTTCCATTGTGAACTGGTCACAGGACAATTTTTTTTATCAACTTATTAAGTTGGAGCACTATAATAGCTCTTGCTGATTTTAGCAATGATCTAAGTGTGTGTTAAACACATCATGTAAGTTTTATGAAGAAAAGGGATTATAAAGAAGAGTAATATCGCGCGTGACTGAACTTTCGTGTTAGGCGGGGAAAGCGACCTCGTGTCATGTCTGTTTCTACACAGAGGCCTTGGCTTTGTCCCGCTTCTTGGCCAGGCAGATGTCTGCTGCGTGCCGTGCAGCGCCACCTCTGTCCTGCACGCGTCTGGTTTGTGTAGCGTTCTGACTCCTCCACGCGCAGACCAGCCTGCGTCTAGACCACTGCCCCCCTAGCATGTTTGTTACTCTGTGGTTGACTCTTAATAAACTTTTCTCTCCATGGTGACATCGTGGGTGTGTCTGTGTCACCTCCCCATGGGTCGTGCTCTGCTCTCCTGGAGCTGGAAAACCTGGGGCCCCTCCCTGGGACCCCCAGCCCAGGCCTCCTTCAGCTCAGCCCTCCGTCCTTGCACCCTCTGCCTGCCTCACCTTGTGGCTCTGGCCCTTCCTTCCAAGTGCCTGTTGGGGTGGGGTCTCGTGTCCTCGCCCTGCTAGAAGATTCCTGACTCCTCTAAAGAGAGCGTTTGAGGGAACCAGCCAGCCTATGCGTGTGTGGCCAAGCCGGGCGGTGGGCAGTAGGTGACCTGGTGTGTGTGCCGGGCCTTGGTGACCCCA